ATGATACATGTTATATGCTATTTCTAGGATGTATTCGTATAGAACTATTTGTTGATCATTTTCGAATATTGCTTTATTTTTTTTAGTATATGAATTAATCCATTAATACACTATCAGCTAAAATACAATTTTTTCTATTCTAATCACATACTTTATAAAAAAATGCATAAAATTTTTTAGTTGAAGTTTTTCAAGCAACAGAAATGGAACTAAATTCCAATAAATTGTTAATTACACATTTTATAACAATTTTATAACAGGATCTACTTAAATTTAAGGATTAATACAAAATAATGCATACAAATATTAAGGCATAAATTGCATAAATTTCAGCAAAGGGTCAATACAACGATGAAAATTAAAATATTTAAAATAAATAAAGATATATCTGAAAATTCAATTTTAAATTTAAATAGACAGAAATTTGTTGCAAAGTCAAAAGCTTAAAAAAAACAATTGTATATAGATTTGTATATACAATATTAACAAAGAACTTTTAAGCTGCATTTATTATTTTAAAATTATTTAGTTATTTTAAGGCCAAAAATGGTTAGGAAATGCTTTTTATATCTATAAGCCTAATACCTAATACCTAAAGGATATAAATGTAAAGACCTCTATATACAACTCAATATCTCAGTAATAAACTTACCCATACGTAAACAAATTAAAATTTGAAAAAAAGGCTTTAGTATTTTATGAATAAGAAATAAAAAACATTTATCAATGAAATAAATCGTAAAAAGAACTGTTGTAAAATATTGTTCATCCCACACAATGCACAAGGCCACATTAGTTTGCAAATTGTTGTTAATTTTTAATAGGGAAACATTTTCATTTTTTAACTTAGAAAATGTTTATATTGTTTTTCCTTTTTTATTTTATTACACTTACAAATTAGTGCATGGAATTATACTGCAGCCAGAGTGAAATATGCATGAAATTTGCATAAATTGTAACCCTTTTTTCTTTTGGTTAAATTCTGTTGATTGTGAGCACACGAAATATATCAATTTGTATATATATATATACATATATGTATATATATATATATATATGTATATGAAGAACGCGCTTTAAGTATTTTTATTTAGTGTTGTTGGTGTCGAGCACGCGACGTTGGCACGACTGAACACAGAGACTCATGCGCAGATCACAGATCACAGATGAGTTGAGGTCCACTCATAGATGCTCACTGACTCTGACTGTCTGACTGAGAACCAAAAGACACGACTCAACTTGGCTTGCCTGATTATAAAATAGTACTAAAAACTACATCAAAATCAAATACGAAACGTAGCCAACGAGCGCGCAAATTTATGCGCAACTGCACTGCCAGCGTCAGCAGAGCAGCTATACGAGTGTGAGTGTGTGTGCCTGTGTGTGTGAGTGTTGGATTATTTTCATTCATCAAAAAAAGCGCTGGCTCGTTGGCGTCGCCGTCGCCGTCGCTGCGCTGCGCTGCTTATCAATTGCAATTGCAAGCAGAGGGCACGTAACTCATACGACGCGTTGTCGCTGTCGACGTCGCAGCATCGCTTAATTAGCTGGCTTGTTCTGTGTACGGCGACGCTCTGCTTAGTTTCGCTTTCTTTTGGCTTTGGCCAATTTGAAAGGGAATTCATTATCAACAATTTATATATATATATATATATATATATATATATATATATATATATATATATATATATATATATATATATATATATATATATGTATCTAGAGAGAGATAAAGGTGAGCTGCTTTCCCACACTTCCTCGCACCTGTCGTTCAAAGTAGTTCAGTGTCGGCATTTAACGCGCCCACTTCCTTTGCACTCTTTTCATTAGCTTTCGTATTGTGAAAAGTTGCTCTGATCAACCTGCTATTGTTTACAGCACAAAGCTGTGCCATAGACCAAACAAGGCTTCATCTATTGCTATATCCACAAATGCTTTAAACTTGTTAAGTACTTAAAGAAGTTAATCATATTATTTCTTATTTATTGCTTTCTATATTAAGTAGTTGTAAAAAAGTCTTAAAGCTCTCCAAATAAATCATTTTAATTTATAGATAAAATGTATATAAATATAATAGATGAAGGATGAAAATAGGATATTACAATTGGAAATTATTATAATATAATATAAATGTATAATATAATATAATATAATGTTCTCCATATTTTATAGGAATAAATGTTGAAAGAAAAATTATATATGAACATATTTATATATTTTTTAATTCATTTAGGAAAAATCCTTTTGATATTTCTAAGTTCTTATTAAATAGTAATGAACTAATATATATTATATATTTTCATTCCTTATTTATATTTTTTATAGACTAACAATATAAAATATAGATTCACAGTTATAAATCACTAGACTACTATTAAGGAATGTTCCTTTAGTTTATATTGAAAAAATAATTAACAAATTAATAAAATTTCAAAATTGAACAGTGGAACTTAGCACAATTTGTTATTAAATATAGAAATCTTTGATTGGGCAATTCATATAATTCATAAGACTATCTGTAGAAAAGATCAGCAGTGATTCAACTTGAAGCTCGTAAGCTATAAGATACTTTTTTGGCACAAGAAACGCATAGATATTTTTAGTTAATCCACAGATCCACAGATTAAGTAAATTATAGGGAATTTGGTTATTCTAATGTGTAACGTCATCGAGGGCAACGATATCTATTTAGCATTTTTCTAGTTAGAAATAGAATAATAAGCAATCCTTAACAATAGATTAGGGGTATTTATGAGTTTATCTAAAATCGAAAGTACAGCTTAAAGGACAAAACTAATATACTTCGTTTTCAACCCGTAAACAAACATGAAACCATGAAAAAAAGGCCTAAGCAAAGCTCCCAACTTACTCTCTTTTAAAGTAAGTAATTTTCAAGTATTTTATATATGATACTTATAGTACATATATTGTAATTAGGGATTTCCGGCTTCCCTCTTGCCATCGCACAATAAATAGTAATAAAAATCAGCGTGTTGCATTGCCATAGCTGCCTTTGATCTGTTTCAATTCGATTTGCCTTGGGGGCTAGTTCTGCTGCCCGTTGGCGACACCAAAAACACGCTGGTGGGAATATATATATATATATATATGTGTGTGGGTGTGTGTGTAACAACAAAAAAATAGAATATAATATAACAAATAAGCTTATTGGGGTTTTTGTCGCTATTTTATAACTACGTATAAGTGAGAGGGCCCAACAGCAAAAGTAAATGACAGCGTTTCGTCGTAATCCCTTCCCTTCCCTTCAGTGAGGTGAATTCCATAACCATCTATCTAGCTACCCTTGCCTATACAGATATATATATGTTTTTATATATATATATATATATATATGGATCTATTGGTGACTGGCCAGCTCTTTCTCACATAGCATGGGCACGAGTATGGGCAAACAACCTGCCAAAGCATTTCTACCGGAACTGTCGATCTTCATTTTTGAAAGTGGAAAATATCACTTTATACCCTATAACATCCATATACGCATATGCCGTATACATTTATTATATATACTTGAAATATATATGTGTATAAATATAAATATATTTCTTCTTTTATATGCAAAGTATATGAAAAAAAACCCCACCAAAAAAACAAAAGAATTTCTTAAAAAAAAAACAATTTTACAAAATTCTAAATTTATAACTCATAAGCTGTAGAAAGGTTAGATTCAAATGGTTTGCATAGCCTTTGGCTAGATAAGTCAACCATTTTTAGGTTTATATTGTATATGACAGAGGCTTACGATTATCTAATTTTAATATTTTATAGACTTATAGAGGATAGCTCATATTATGATGTATTTAAACGAATCCAAGAAGAAACCGTAGATATGAAACACCTATAGTTCATCATATATTTACTCTTAATAAAAATCTATATTTTTATTTATAATTTTAATTCTTAACTAGCTTAAGTATATAGAAATGTTGAAAGAAATTTAAAAAGCAACATATCTATGTAATCTATTGATTTCAGCTAAAACTATCTGATACATATAGAGGTAAAAAAAGGGTATTTAATACTCGGAATACTTAGATAGGCTTTAAAAATACCACAATTAAGAAAAAAATTATAAATTATATTTAAAAAAAAAAATATTTACCGGTCATAAATAACTAAGCTTACGCACTATACTTACCCATACATATGTTCTTAACAGTATTTTAAGCATATAAGTAAAATCTTTTAACTGAATTCGAAGTGAATGCGCGCTTTTGAAATCTAGCAAGGCGAAGACGTGCTATATATTCGATGATAGAACTGGGAAGTTCTTCAAACTAGAAAGACAATCTCCACACATTTTGTATGTTAAAACGTTACAATTAGTTGATTAATAATAATCAACAACAAAAACATAAGCTGGTCTTAAATATACAATATATATTTAAAAAACCATATGTATATGTATAAAGTATTAAATGTAGAATAAATTATATATATAATAAATCATTGCTATAGATTTATTTGATATACATATATATATCATATGTAAAACCATTTGTTCATGCATATTAATCAATCATAAGTACAAATTTAAATATATAGTACATATATTAGGTATCTGTATCATAGATCATGTGATATATTCATATTTGTATTTTGAAGACTGCGCATACTATAAGAACTGACTCAGCGAAGATTTAATAAGATTTTCTATTTCCATGTCCTTCTATAACAGTTTTCTATTCTATTTCTCTCTAAACGAATTCTCTTTTACAATTATAATAAATCGCACTCATAAATTAATAATAATGTTATATATTATATTACGCCATTGATAAACACACTATATAAATTGGGTGTATTGAAAAACTTCAAGCAATCAACGCCAAAAGTTTTCTACAAATATATTTATATATTTTTTTTATTGTTTTTTATTTATAACTTTATATTATGTTTAAACGTATTATATGTATTGATAAAAAATTTTCAAGATCACAAATCATATTTTCTTTAATATTAAATGAAAATGTGCAGGTAATTTTCATACGCTTTTCTTTTTTCATTTCGTTTTTGTTTTGAATGCGTTGCGCGAGATGTAAGCATTTTACAATAAAAAGGCCCACTGTGTTATGACTAATAAGCAAAGAATAAGGAAAAATCTGAATAAAAATTTATATAAAAATATGGCAAACTCTCTATATGTGTAAAAAGAAATATGGCAACACTAATTTCAAAGGATGAATGCAAAGAGCATCTCAAAAGCAATCTAATACTTGTTGTATGTAAGGATTAAAGCGGTTTGTAGGTGTGAGTGAGTGCATGAATATTGTAAAGGAATGCGAAATAAGTGTACGAGTGTGTATGTGTGTGCGTGGGTTTTTGTTGTTGTTGTTGCCGCCACCGCAGTCGCTGCAACAGTTGCGCAGCTACCACCTTTTGCGCAGTCGCAGCTGCAGCTGCGCTGTCGCGTCAGCTGGAACGCCGCTTCCATGTATGCTTATATGTATATATTAAATGTATTGTATGCATGTGAATGTGTGTGTGAGTTTGTGTGAGGAGTGAGTGTGTAAGGTGCCTTTGTATTGGTTTACTCCTCCGTTTTGGGACGCCGAAATAGCAAAATATGCGGCTCCGGCTTATGTATCATATAATGTATCCAGCCGCGTGATTGCTGTACTCCAATTGATCTCCATTCGGTTTCTGTCATCAAATGCGTTTTGGGCACCAGCTTCACAAGGTCTTTCGGCAAGACCACATGTCTGTATAAAATACATACGTACACATACATTAATACACACATATATTTATATGCATTTACAGTTGCAAATTCTATGGCCCCTCACCTGTATTCGAACTTCTCATCATAGTATTTATCCGAGTAGTAAATATCTTTGCTCATCTTTTTGATCTGTTGGAATTTGGAAGGGGTGCTGGAATGCGGCGTTTAATTTGTATTTGGCGTCGGCGTCCTTTTCTGCACGTCTAAGTTCGCGATCCTCTTTACATTCAAATTTCTCCACTTTTCTATACTTGCACACGGTTATTACTATTGTTCAGTTAATAGTTAGTGCCTTTTCTTTCAGTTATATAGATTTATTTATAAGCAATTAACGTTTTTTAAGTAATTTAAAAAAGCAAAAAGTGACGCGGTCTACAATTATGTTTGTTCTAGTTCGTTTATGCTCATTGAACCACTAATATCGATAAAAAGCAATGCTTGTTTAGCTCGATATCGGAACATATGAGCACCAGTAATGAAGCGGTTTTAGTTCACGAGAATTAGCCGCTACGTCAGTGTTGATTCTAAGTTAAATAAGGTTTAGTGAAACAGAACAAAATTATAGTAGTATTAATTATACTTACACATGCTTTATTTTTCTGTGTCAATGAATTGAGCTACTTAAATGTTCGCTTAAGCGGGTCGACGTGTAACGCGCGGGTTTATTGGATTACTTGTCCGTAAATTGTGGCGGTCGGTCGACAAGCTTTAGAATATTTGTATTCGATTAGTGTGGAGCAGCTCAAATTGTTTACAAAATAAACTTAAACTATAAAAAAGCTTAAATAAAATGTTATTTCACATATTATATAAATTTACCAATGATTGTTGTGATCAAATTGAAATTAAACAGTTAATAATATATAAATATATATATATATATCGATATATCTACAGGTTGCAATACAGCTGTAGCAACATTTGACTCTAGCAACATGTTCTGCAACATGCTTAAAAAATGACCCAGTAAAATCTTGAATGTTTAGGGTCTGCATACATGTGAATTAAAGCCTTCATGTAATTAGAACTACTTTCGCGCAGAAATGCATGCAAACGCCAGTGATGTTGAGTAGAGCAACAAGTTTGGTTGGGTTCGTAATCTTTTCTCATTTGTGCTGGCCTTTATACATTAACAGTTATTAGCATAATTAGAGAGAAAAGATAATGTATGTTCGCAAATGAACTTAACTTAAAGAAACTTTTTAAATGAAAGAGTTTTTTTTGAAAATGTATAACAATTTTGTAAAGAAATTAAATAGTATTCATAGCTGCCTCCATTGGGCGATTAGTATTCGATTCGGTCATTCTCTCTATCCTTTATCTTTTCCGCTTCTCCCTCTGTTTAAATGATCTATCCACATCGTCCTCTCTCTATTTGCTTATATCTTTATCTTATCTTTTTCTCATTATTTGTATTTCTCTTACGCTCTTTATCTCTCATTGTATTTCTCTTTGACGTTATTTTCTCTGGTTTGCTTGCTCTTATTCTCTCTCTCTCTTTGTGTTTCTCTCTCTTGCGCTTCTTTCCTGTATGGACAGTCTCTTGCGATTTCCGTATCTTTCTTCATCCCTCATTATACCGGCCTCTTTTCTTGTCTCTCTTTTTCGCTCAATCTCTCTTGCTATCTCCCTCTATCCGCATTTCCTATCTTTCGCTTTCAGCAAGTCATAACAGAATACCAGAAATACGAAATATTTGTACAAATTGATAACGCAGCCAATTTTTTTTGTTTATTTGGAATTACTTAATTCCATATCAACATAATATTTTTATTGAATTCAGTAAAATTTTTCAAACAGTTTCTCATTTTTTTGTTACTCGTACATGTTTATGAAGCTTTCTGTTGCTGTTGTTCTTCTTGTTTTTTGTTTGTTTTTGTTTTTGTTTTTCATTTTCTTTTTGTTGTTGATGTTCAGTTACTCTTCTTGTTGAAAGTTCATTTTTGTTTAATATTACATCTTATGTTTTTCTTTTTTTTCCATTTAATATTTAAACTTTGTCATTGATTTATAGTTAAACTTAAACAATACAAAAGCAGTATTTGTTTTTTTCATTCATTTTGTTACACATAAATATATATATATATTTATATATATATATTAATTTTACCATGACTTTTATTTTCATTTTCTTTTTATGAAGTTTTTTATCTATATATTTTTCTTTGTTTTCCACTTTTAAATCTAAATTAAAGCAATTCTGTTAGGTTTTACTTTTTGTTACACTTGAAATAATTGTGAATGGTTTTTGTTTATTGTTTCGTGTTTTCATTTTAATTTTATTTTTGTTGTTTGTTTAATTAAAATGTCATCTTTGAAAACTGCAATTCGTCAACTGAAAATATTTGCAACTGAAAATTTATTTGAATTTCGTATTGTTTATTTGAATTGGTTTATTGTGAATGAAAAAATTGTTGTTATCGACCTTAAGTATAGTTTACATGCTGTTTTTTATGTTTTATATATATTTTTTACCATTTATATAACATATTTATGCATACATAATTTGTATACCGTAATGTTACATCGCTTAGTTCTATATAATCATAATTTGAAATAATCGATTCTTTTTTCTATTTTGCTCTAACCAAATGGGCTTGCAAATGATATATAAATCAATGTTTTTCAAGCTAGTTATTCATTTTTTCTAAAATATTGTTCTATTATGCGCTGCGGTTTTTTTGCACTTGTTGTGAGAGATCGAGTTCTCGGACAAATTTTGATCCAAAAGAATTGCACACTTTACGCTGAAATAGATCGAATAATATATATATATATATATATATATATATATATATATATATATATATATATATATATATATATATATATATATATATATATATATATATATAGATATATATATATATATATAAGTATATATGTATATATTTGTTTTTAGAAATTGTGGGCGTGGCAGTGTTTTAACATAACATACAAGTACTAAGTTAATTTTTTAAATATTTATTAGCATACATTGAGTTTTTGCTTATAATTTTGAAAATGCTTAAAATTTGTTAAACACCTTTTGGAAATAAACGACTGCCACATTTGTTAGCTAAACGATTCGTTGATTTTTATTATTACTATATATAATATATTATATTAATTAATTATATATAGATGTTGAGCTTTCAAAGAAGCAGCGGAAGTAGCTTAAAGAAAATAAAAGTTCTGAAATGATTTTGCATTTAAATACATTTTTTTGTACATTTTCTAGAAGACGTAAAAGTTTTATTATATAAAAATTTTATTATACTAAAAAAAATTCAGAAGTTTTGAAAGTAATTTTCATAACTTTAAAACAAATTCAAAAGTTTTGATACTAATTTTCATAATTTTTTAATATTTGGAACAATTTAAGAATATTTTCGAAGTATTTGAAGAGTTTTTGAAAAAATTTTCAAGTTTAAAAATCTTAAAATAAATTTTAAAAATTTTGTGAAAGCTTGAAAATATTTGTTGAAAATGTTTTGAAATTTAAGTTTTAATTTTTTTTGATTTTATTTAAAGAATCTAATAAAATGTATTGCATTTGCCTTGTGTCGATGACGTAAATTGTTGTTGCTCACACACAAAAAAATTTTGTTGATTTTTGTTTTTAAATGATTTTTTAATACACTTGGTGTACAAAATGGCAGTTTATATATATATTTATATATTTATATATATATATATATCCTTGTTAAATCTTTATCAAGTGTGTTCTAGTATATATGCCGCATGCTAATTAGTGCAAAATATGTCAAATCTTTGGATCCGCAAGCCAAATTTCTTTTTATCGTGTGCCCAAATGAAAAAGAATTTATTTTTTAGTAAACTAAAACTAAAAGATATGACCAATTTTTTCAAGAATTGTGGTCGAAAATTTGAATTACTCGCGCTAAAGGGTCAACATTTTCTTGGCAGTTTTATATATATATATATATGCATTTACATACATATATCATATATTATTTAATACTTTTTTATATTATTTAAAATTTGGTTTTTAAATTGCGTTTTTGTTACCCTATATAAACTACTAATATTTATCGGCGGTTTTGGGAACACATTTTTCCCAGGTCAAAAATTATAAAAAAAAATGTTTTTACTCAAATTTTGTGCGTATTAATTTGAAAATATTTGAAAAAAAGCCTGTGGGATTTGGATTTATTTTTGATAGCTGCAGACGAGAAAGAGCAGAGAACAAAAATAACAAATATATATTGAGTGAATCTCACAACTCGTGTTTTGTATTTTTTTTTTAATTTTATTTATTTATTTTTTGCAGCATTTTATTTCACTACTTAACTAATTGCTTTAGTTGTTTTTATGCTTTTTCTTTTTCTAATAATTTTTTGTTTTTCTTTTCTGCATTTGTTTAATTTATAAGAAAACATGCACTAGAAAATTGTTTGTTAGAAAACTATTTGGTAAACAATTGTTTGAATTTTATTTACTTAACGAAATTATTTGCTAACAATTTTTTGAACTGAAATTTGATAAAGTTTTGCCTTTTTTTTAAATTATAAAACATTTTTAATGTAGAATTTATAAAATTTTTGTTGAAATTTTTTTGGAAATTTTGGAAAACATTTTTGGCAAACGGAAAACAATCCTAAAATCCGGAAACTGATTTTTCTTTTTTTTTGTAAAACGTTTTTGCGTTAGTTTTGTTAAATTCATTTAATAAAAGTAATTAGTTGTTAATAATATATTTATAATATATGTATATATTTAAGTATAACATTTTTTCCATTAAACTATTATTTAGCGATTTTGCTGCATCTGTAGCAAAAACTGTATAACATTTCATGTTCATAATTTGTTTTATATAATCTTTTTACGGGTTTTCTGTTTTGGTTTTTTTTTTTTATTATTTTTATTTATTTTTTCTGTTTTTTTTTCCAGCTGCTTCTTACATTTTAGACTAGCACTAGTTAAGTGGATGGTAAAAGGGGATTAGTTATAAAGCTTGGTATGCCATTTAAGAGGTTTAGCTTTTATTTTTAATTTTCTTTTTTTTTTCATTCGATTTTTTAAAGTTTTATATATGTTTTTTTTTTTTGTTTTGTGGGTTTGGGCAAAGGTCTCAAGAGAGCGAGAAAATTGTTAAGCTAGTTGAGGCCTATTTATGAAGTTGTCTCTAAAAATTGTGAAAGAAAAATGAGTGAAAATCAAATTTTCTTGTTTTCCATTTTTTCTTGTTGGTATTTTTCTGGTATATACCAAAAGCAGATGCAGCATGTTGGGGTTGCTTTCGCTGCTCTCTCCCTAACTGCCCCCGCACTCTGACGCCCTTCGCTGGAGTTGAAGCTGCTGCGGCTGTAGATGAAAATTATGTTTGGTGTAATATATCGAAACGGTTTGTTGTTTGGTTGTTTTTCTGTTTTGTTTTTATTTATTGTTAAATTAAGTTCGTTTTTATTGATCTTTATTAATTTTTCTCATTTTCGGGGAATTCATTGTATACATAATATATTTTTGTTTTAATTTTATATACTCCTTTTGTTTTTGTTATTGTAACCAGTTACTCTGTACTTTACTTTCAGCTATATTTTATCTGTTTTTTGCCTCAATTTTTTTTTTTTATTTTTTTTGTATTTTTTTGTATATTTTTTTATTTATTCTCATGCAATTTTCACATTAATGATCTTTGTTTAGTTTTTTTTTTGGGTTTTTCATAATAAGTGAAGAGTATTAATTTTAAATGTGTTTGCGGTTTTTTTTGCCTTCATTTCTATGCATTTTTGTTTTTGTTTTATTTGTATCTAACCTTCTTTTGCTTTTGCTTTCTATTCCATTTTGTATTTTAAAATCTACATTTATTTTGTTTTTCTTTTTGTATTTCTTTAGAAATTTGTAGTTAAACATTTGTTTCTTTTTTTTATGTTTTGCTTTGTTTCATGGGATTAATGCGGCCTGTTTAAATTTATAACAAATTTAAACAACAAATTAAATAAGTTTCTATTTTATTTCTGCTGTGGAAGGGGCAAGGGGAAGGGGGTGGGGTGTAGGTTCATGTATGTATGTATACATATGTGTTTATATATGCGTTCCAATTGTTCACTTTGTTTTTATTTTATATATATATATATGTTTATATATATAAGTATTTATTTAAATATTATAAATATAAATAATGTTTGTTTTTTTTTTGTTTTTGCTTTTACATATTTATTTTTTAACACATTTTCTCATTGAGTTAAGAACAGTTGCTGCATTTGTCATTTGTTTATATTTTTGTTCGCTGCGCTGTTTGTCGTTTATATCTTTAATTATTTTTAATTACACCAAAAAACAAAGTAGAATTTGTTAACAACAATTTTTTTTTCATTTCATTTTCATTTATTTTATAATATCATATTTGCGCTAAATTATGTGGCTTGCCAATTTGTAACCATTTGCTATTTTATTTTTTCTTTTTGCCTAAATTGTTAACTAAATAAAATTTCCTAACCAATTAAGTTTGTGTTTGTGTGTGTGTGTGGGAGTGTGTGTGTAAGTTTGTGTGTTGGGCATTTGATAGCGTTGGGTATTTTTTTTAGCGCAAGGTTTAGTCATGATTTTTTTGTTTTTTTTTCTTTCTTTTTTTTCTTTGTAGCTCTTTATTTTAGTTTTTCTTTGGTTGTTGCTGTATTTATTTTGCATTATTATTTAGCTTTATTTTTTTTTTTGTTTTTTTTTTTGCTTGCTGCTACATTTTCTTTTGTGTGTGTGTGTGTGTTTGTCACTATTTTATTTATCGTGACTTTGCTTAACTTTTCATCTTTTTCTTCATTTTCATTTATTTTTGTAATTTTTATTTTTATTTTTATTTTGTTTTCTTGTTTTATGTATGCCTAATTCGCGCTCTCTTTCTCTTTTCAACTTTCTCGTTTACTTCTCTCTCTTTTGTTTGCTTTGCTTCTTGTTTAGCTGTTCTTGTTGCTGCTTTTCGCCCATTCACTGATGATGCATTGCTCCATGGCGTTTCTCTTAGTCGACCATTAACTCAAAGTGGACGGATCCTCTCCTATCCGAGCGATCATGTTTGATGTTGCGAGCCCAGGCTTTGCACTCAATGTTGATCAAGACGCCGGCTGGAGAAAGTATAGAAAATGGTAAAAATTTTTAAATAAATTTTGTAAATATTACAATTAATAAATAAATTATTAATTATTAATATTAATAATTTAATTATGTACAAAATACAATTTTATCCATACAAAATAATGTTAGGCTGTTATTCGCAGAGTAACTTAAACAACCAGTATTTAAAGTTTAGGAAATTAAAGGTTTTTTTATTTTAATTTCAGTAAATTAAGTCTTTACAGACTTGCAAAGTTATAAAAGAGATCTGAATTATTTTCTGTCAATCATTTCATATAAAATCACAATAAAAATAGTTTTATTTTGGCCAACAGAAAATAAACCAAATCTTATTCTAATTTTCTGCCTTCCATTTTAACTCGAACCATATAAATACAAGAATATTTTCTTATCATTAATTATATTCATTATTATTATTGTATTTCGTAGCCTACTTTTGTGATACTTTGTTACTTCAATCTTCAATTATCTTTGACCGCTTTGTGTGCTTGGCGAGGCGAGCTAACGACCCTTAGTTAACTGTCATAGCAATGGTAGCATGTAATGTATGTGGCTTAACAAGCATAAAGGATTTGCCTAATCCTCTTTTGTACGCACACACTGAAACTGAAACTCCCCCTCGCTCCTTCTCTCCTTCTCTCTCTCATTTCAAGCTAAGGAATTATTACAGTTTATTGTGGCGTGAAATTGGGTTCTAGACGATTTTCTTTTGTTACTCCCAGTTTTTTGCTTCTTTTGTCTTAGCACACCCAATTGGGCTGGGAAAAGTGGAAGAAGTTGGGCAGAAGCTTACTCATATGAGCTTGACTATTGTTTGACTGCTGCCTTAAGTAATATGTAGAGCATAAAAGTCGTTTTTTTACAGACTCTTAATATTATAATTTTTTTTAAGATTCATTTTTTACCTAATCTGTAAGTTGAGCTTTTAGATTTTAGCAAAAAAATATTAATAAGACGTTTATAAATTAAGTTTTAAAAATTTTAAAATGTTTTAATGGAGTTTTAAGAGGGATTATGTGATTTCAGTGTATTTACTGTAGAAAGAAAGATTATTCCTCTGTTTTCATTAAAATTTCATTCCTTATCCTTATGCTCTGTCACCTCTATCTATATCTCCCCAATGTTCTTTATATAAATATCTGATTACATTTGTTATATATATACTTACTTTCAACGGTAAACTGAACAGCAACAATTGGCGGTATATAGCCCTCGATATTTTTGAATGGGAAATAGAATGAGGGGAAACCCATGCGAGGATAATAATCGCGTGACTTAATGTTTTCAACATCAGCAGGATTTTCGCCCTCGCACGATACCCAAACAACGGCAGTCTATAAAGCGAGATCAAAAACATTAAAAAAAACTCTAATTTTACCAAATTCAAATTTACCTCATTTGGTCGCAGGCTCTGCTTCTCCTTGATGTGGTGCTTCAAGCCCTCAGGCATGTCTTTGGGCAAATTTGCTAAATCGTAAATTTGTGGCTCCCAGTTGTAAATCTGAGCGAAAATTGATTAAAATCATGTATATATATATATAAATATATTCTATAGATTACCTTATTCAACTTGAGGAATATGCAGGGCCTGGCCAGGTGATAACCAAAGTTATTATCAAAAGTGCAGGGCGCAAAACTAGAAACTTCAACGCCGCAGACTTTGCCCTCTGGTGGCGGATGCTCAAATGAGCAGTTCACTTGATTCTTCTTGGGTAGTTCGTCATAGGCTGTGCACAAATAGATATAACACATTTTTAATATATATTCTAGAGCTGATTAAATATCATCTCTAATATACTTAAAGCCTTCATTTAATTAGCTTCTATCAAATAGTTTCATTTAGCAATACTTTATTTAGGCAAACATATTTTTTACACTCACTGTGATCTTTATTATTTGATTTAGTCACAAAAAACAAACGTTTCATGAACAAAAATATATATATAAAACATTTATAAATAATTTAAAAATTGTTGACAGTTCTATAAAATTTATAAATAATTATACAAATATTGCGATATTAATAATAAAAATAATTTGTTAAGCTTTCATCAGCTTCAAAACAAAAATAAATATTTTAAATAAAAGTAAATGAAGGTTTGAAAAACAAATTTTTTTTAGAAAAAATATTAAAATTCGGTTTTTAAATTTTATTATATCATACAAAATTTTAATCATCAAAAGCTGAAGCTGTACTTACATTTCAGAAATCGCTCAGTTTCCTCAACCCAATACATATAATTGTCTTTCTTCGATGATTCGTACCAAACTAAAGTGCTCTCAACATTCGCCTCTGGGGGCATTGGTCGAAAGCCAAGACCTGAAGGCAATATAAAAGATATAGTGTTGTAAAACATGTTAACAAGTGTTGTGTGATGGCTTAGTATATATTTTGAACATGTTTTTTTTTTTAATTATAAAAAATTCTATTAATACATTTTATTAAAAATATTTTTATTTTAACATTTTATATTATATTATATATTATTTTATATTTATTTTTATTTTTGAAAATCAAGTTATTGCATAAAAAGTAATATCTTTTAGTTTTGTTTTCCTTTTCTCTTAAGTTGAATGCTTGTAACCTTACCTGGATTCGATCCAATCAATCCATTGTCAAGCATCCATTTGGGTTTATCTACCTCCAATGTTTGATAGAACACCGCAAATATGGCAGCAAAGAATCCGGTTAACGCCGCATAGAATATAATGTAGAAAAGTAAAATTTTTGCTGCAAAAGAAGAGAGGGGAAAACCCTTTCATTAATTTTGAATTTAAATATAGGGCATTATCTTATATAGATGATTACATGAATTATATAATCCTCAGCTGAGCGCCATAAAGTAATCAAATTTGGTTTCATGTTTGCGTAACGATGATGCAACTTTAGTTTTGTTTTCTTTCTAGACAAAATTTTTTGTGGCTTTTAGGCGCTTTTATTATGCCTGCCACGCCCCATTGCAAAAGACTTGTGTGCGGTATTTTAATGGCTCTGTCAAAGCGTGTGTCTGTGTGTATTATATTCATAAAAGCAAAACATTTCCGAATGCCATTACATTTATGTCCTAATGGAAATTTTTCATGCTAAGTTGTTTCAGCGTTCTAATGAATTTTGATATTTGTTTTTCGTTTTTCTTTTTTTTTCTTATTGGGCTCTAATAAATGAGAATTAGTCCCAAAGGAATTGTATTTCTCATATGTATATGTGACTATTGTAACCCTGAGAAAATTAGTATATAGTATATAGCTACGTTATATAATATATGCTAAACCAATTAGAGCTTTTTGTATATTTCTCTTATGCACTTTAATTTTACCTACTTTTACGATTTCAATGTTATATTAATTATTAAACAATAATTATATAATAATAATTATATAATAATAATTGCTTCATAATTGTTTATTTATAGTTTTTGATTTTCCTTTGTTTTAATTTTCATTATTTTACAAGATAATCTTATTAATATTAAATTAAAATTTTTTTATATAATATAAATAAAAAAATATATATGTAGGTGTTTAAATATGAAACAAAAATTTTATATACTTTAAATAAATAAATATATAAATAAATTGATAAATAAATACTTTTTCAAACAATTCTTAAAAATTTACTATTATTTTATATTTAAAAAAACTCATTAGGACAGATTTATTATGTTATATTTAAAATAAAATATATTTGAATAGGGCTTTTTATTATTTTATTATATCCTATCTCAAATTAAATATATATTTACAAATTAAATAAAAATAACCAAGCTTTAAAATTTTCTTTTAAAAATTGCAACTATTTATTAAAAAGTTTTAATTGAATTTACAAAAATAAAATATATAAGAGTACCCCATTCAAGCCTTAAAACTTGTTTTTTTTTCTAAAGTTTACAATCTCTTAAGTTGCCAATTAGCGAGCGACCACTGTAACAGTGCTAAAAACCTTCAACTGGCTGAGTAAGACGTTAACTGAGCCAAGAATTTACACAGTTTGGCATACTTCTGGGCTAATTGACAATCTGGGGCATGAAGGTGGTGTGGTATGGGGTAGTATAGGCTAGTAACTACGACAGTTGGATGACTGCCACGGCTCACGCCCCTTTCACACTTGTGTAACTACTCCAACGCTCTACGATTACACAATGCACGACTTTTGACATTTTCTTGGCTCCAGCTGCACGTAAAACTAAGGCCAAACTTTGAGGGTGTGTGAGGGTGTTTGATAGTGTGTGTTTGTGCTTGGCAAATATCCACTCTCCTGTGCCCCAGCTTAGTTTTGACTAGTTTGTCATTTTGACATTTCTGTTTTGTAATTAAGTGTGATTAAAAGGTCGCCAAGTTTTAGCACTCTTCCTCTTGCCCTTTAGCTTTCGCTCTTATTTTATTTTTAGTTGTTTTTATTGCAATCGCTTTAATTTTAGATTTCATAGTTAAGTTTCGTTCACATTACGCATACGCCATGTGACGCAGCAGCAAATTGATGTAGTGCAAAATATGTTGGAATTGGCATTTGGCATTACAGAGCAATTTAGAAAAGTCATTAATCATTTTGCCCGGAGACTTGGAGACTTGTGTGTGTGCCGTGGGAATTTTGCAAAAAGGAAATTGCAAGAGAACTAGCAATAAATTAATGAATGAATGGGAAAGGTCGTCGGACTAAATACATTTTTAAGTAGTTTAATGAGAATTGAATGAAGTAGAATTTTGTGGAAGACTAAGAGAGGGCGATCAGAGATGAGAGAGAAATTAGGCGTAATTGAATGGCAAAAGATATAGCTAAAAATTTGTGAGTTTCTTTAAAATGATATTTGAATTTAGACAAAAGAATATTTCGCTTTAACTCAAATTTTTAGTCTTTTTTTTATATCTTTATATATAGATAACATAAATTTCTCTATATAATATATGTTCAAAGGAGACAATCTCAGATTTGGAAACTTTCTAAATTTTTACGCAAAAAATAAATTGAAATTAAATAAAGTTGATATTCAAGAAATCACCAAATACTTTAAATATATGTTAGAAATGAAAGAAATCAATATAGTTTTAAGCTAGAATTTTATTTAGTTTTTCATCAGTTAAATTTAGTAGAAAATATATCATAAGCAAATAAACTAACATATATATTGTATTTAAAACTCTTCAACAATCCTTCATTTCACATTGATTCGATTATAGATGAGAGCCTTTAAAATCTGTTAAGTAACATGCTTATAGTCAAGAGCTATTGAAACACACTTGTGACAACAAAATGCTGCACACGGTCAATTAATTGGCAAAAGTATTGCCAATACAAAAAAAAAAAACTAAAAAACTTACAAAAAAGAAAAATGAAAATGAAAATGAGAAAAAAGAACGCATGCGCTGTCGCTTTTGCTGCTGCCCGACTAGCTATTGCCAATGCGCCCGCACTCTAACGAATTCTCAGGGCCAAATACAGACATATATAGAAATATATATTTGTATATAGATATATATATGCATACATATATATGGATATATTAACATAAAGCCATTATATGCTTCGTTAAAAGGCTTCTAGTTCAACTATCTTGGGTAAAAGTTTTAACTAATGTATTTATATTTTAACTATAATACACTATATATATATATACACTATATATATATTATGTTTTTTTCTTAGTTAACCGATACAATTTGTAATTATCTTTTTCACATTTTGTCCACCTCAATTGAGCTTGCAAATACGTTAAGCATTTGTGCAACGCCTTACGTAATTTGGTTACGTTACGTAGGCAGTTAAATAATAATAGAAAAGAAAGAACAGAAAAAAAATATACGTTTGCATGGCAACACTCGAGCTAACTTCAAGGGTTCGCCTGCAGGGCGCCTCCTTTTGCAGTTGGTTGTGCTTTTTTTTTCAAGCTGAATTTTCTTATTGTTATTCCAATGGGTGTGACAGTGTGTATGTGTGTGTGTATGCTTCTGTGTGTGTGTGTATTTCTGCACTTAACGAGCTGTTTGCTCTGCTTTCAGTGGTCGCAATGGCTTTTCGTGCTGCGCTAGGTGGGGCCTTTGAAGATGAAGCAGTTTTGTGGCTCAGCTGAGCATGGGGCATGGTTGGAGCTGAATTTTCGATTTGCTTGCTATTGTTGGGGGCGGGGAAACAGCTGTTTTATTTGGTTAGCAAGGCAAATACGCTGATTCGCTCTAAATGTTAAGTGCACTCGATAAAGATATGAAATTAGAAGACACATAAATTTAAATCGTAAATGAGTTCGGAAATTAAATTTTAAGTGCAGAAAATAAAAAAACAATAGTTTCTATACTGGTTGAAATTCTTATATAGAAACAAATTAAGTACAAAAATAAAAATCAATTTACTTAAGTTTGTTAGAAATGCTTAGAAATTCTTTTACAATATTTTAGGGTGTTTTCGACATTCGTTGATTCTAATTAAGAGTCTTTAGAATGAATCTTAATCTAAAATGAATGCAATTTATTGCATTTATTTCGGTGAGAAAAAAATAAAATAATATTTATTGCATATTTTTATTATGTTATTATTAATTTTTTTAGGACCTATTAAAATATTTGTTTTCGAGACAACTTAGTTAAATTAATTAAATAAAAGAAACTTTTATATATATAAAATAAAAAATATAAAAATAAATATGTAATTTCATTTTTTATATAATTTGTTTAATTTATCTTTTTATTAAAATAATGTGATATAACGCCGCATTTGACTTTTGTTTTCTATTTTTTCTGTTGTCAAGCGGCGCTTCGACTTTTGATTTCGCTTTTTATATTTCAGGTTTGGTTATGCAGGGCTCTACCTTAAAAATCCGATTGATTTACGCGAAAATCTTTCACTCATTACCTGTGTGCTTGTGTGCGTGCGTGTGTATGCGTGTTCATGCTACTGTTGAGCACCTGGCAGGTCTTAGTAGAACATTAAGTATACGCAGCATTGTGCGCGCACTCTCTGGCTGCGACTGCTCGCTGTCTCTCTCTGCAGCTCTCACTCTCTTTCTCCCTCTCTATTAATCGCACTCTCTCGTTCTCTTTCCGTCCCTGTCTTTCCCACTCTAGCGCTGTCTCGCTTTTTGTAGGTCTCTTGGCTGAACTTTGCCATTTGCACAGCTGCCGCAATAATGTAACAAACTGTGCTGGTATATGCACTGGTGTGCGCGTGTGTGTGTGCGTTCGTGTTGGTGTGAGTGCGTTGTTTGCATGTGTGCTACAGCTGCAAGCTGTATACATACACACACACAGAGACACTCGCAAAATGAATTGCGTCCACCTCTTCCTCTTTTGTAATTTCAGCTACAATTTTACCTTGCAGCCATTGGTGCGGGTTGTAGCCCATTTGCTCTGTTAATTTTGACAGTTTTGACAGAAAAATAAGACAAATATATATGCACACACACACACACGCACACGCACATGTATACAGCAGCAGCTGGCACACAAAGAAAAAATATTGGACAGCAAAATGGAGCAGAAAATACAGCTGTCAACATCAGGATTCGCAACCAGCCCCCAGGCTATGCAGCACATCACGTACATACAGATAGCGAGAGAGATATTGCGTGAGATTCAGAGAGAGAGAGAGGGACAGAGATACATACACACAAAACGCACATAAATTTAAGCACACAATGCAATAAGTAGAATAATAATCATTTTTAAATACTCTTGGAAGAGACTTTTAGCTTTGACTGTGTTTTAATTATTTTATTTCATTTGTAAACATTTTTAATAATAATA